TCATCAGCTAGGGCAGTGGTCGGCAAACTGCGGTTCGAGAGCCACCTGTGGCTCACGAGCTGCGGTTTGCCCGCGCTGTTGACTAATGAGTGTGCCAACCAGACTTAGACTCTCGATTCCAGTAATTACAGGCTGTTTTTGTTCCTTGTGCTTAAATCCCTATCCAGTGATCGGCAGACTCATTAGTCAACAGAGCCACAGTTTGCCGACCACTGAGTTAGGAGGAAGACTTAAAAGAGGAGGCCGAAGCAAAGCAAGGAGGTTCCCTGATTGGCTATAGCTTAGGCTAGGGGTGTCGAACTCAGAGAAGGGGCCAAAATCTAAAATCCAGCCTAAATCGCGGGCCGAATGGTTTACTGAACAGTCATAAACTGTCATTGTGATGGAAACGCAGCGGAGTGCAGTGATGACAGCGCGGTGCGGGCCACATTGCAAGGCCTGGCGGGACGGATTTGGCCCGCGGGCCTTGTGTTTGACACATGTGGCTTAGGCAGTTGTCTTATTTGGGAAAGCCTGTTTGTGTTTAGGCAGGGGTCTTCAAACTTCTCTCATTATGAGAATCACCTGGTGGAGGTGTTAAAACACAGATTCCTGATAGCACTTCTTATAGTTGGGATCCAGGAATCTGTGTTTTAACAACTCCATCAGGTGATTCTCATAATGAGAGAAGTTTGAAGACCCCTGTGTTTAGGTTTCAACTTCTTAGTCTTAAGGCATTGCAGGCTCAGGTTTTGCTTTGCTCTCAGGAGCTACAAATGGACTCCTTGTTTAATTAATTTAATAATACAAATATGAAAGTATTTCTGTAAAAGGCTAATTGCCTTCCCTAGTCAAGAAGAGAGGAGTTTAAATAAAAGCCATATCGTTAAAAAGCCCTGAACATAAAAGTGTGTGGCCTTTTATATTGTATAAATAACATGGTTTCTTTAGACAGAAAGCACAAAGGCTCTCCTGTGTGGGGTATCGTCTTCTAAGGTGCCTCTCAAGTGAAAGTCTTCAACATGTCCCAGTTCCCCAAGTGGTTACTGCAGTTCCTTGCTAACGGTGTGCCAGAGGGAGTGCAAGTCTATTCGCTGACAAACCCATGAAAAATGGCCTGATGTGCTACCAAATGTAAAGCATTCTCACGTCGGTCTCAGGCTGACTCCTGACCTGAGAATCATGTGGTTAGATGGCAACAGGGGTGGACAGAAGGATTCTCCCAAAGCAAGTGTCTCATACAAAGGCAAGACTGTGGTAAGTTTTCATGGACAAATAATATGAAATGGTGGGAAGACAGAAGATAAACGTGTTTATAGCCAAATTCACCCGAGGACACCAAAGTGTCATTAGAACCTCCAAACCCCAGCATGACATTAGGGCCAACGATACCATCAGAAGGCAGTTTACTGCCCAACCTATATAATCAGGGTCAGAGGGTCTTAACAGGTCTCAGACATGAACACAATCACCGAACGGAAGGTCCTACTCATTGCAGTAAGGGTCCAGGTTGAGCCTTTGTAGAATCTCCAAATTGTCCCAGCCTGATCAGCCTAAAACCACTGTTTAAGCTCATCCAGCTGCTGAAACAAAAAGACCATAGACTGGTTGGCTTATAAACAATGGAAATTCTGTGTAGTTCTGGAGGCTGGGAAGTCCAAGAGCAAGGCAGAAGATTCGGTGTCTGGTGAGAAAATACTCCCTCATTCAAAGGCAGTCAACATCACTCTGTTCACATGGAAGAAAGGGCAAGGAAGCTCTCTGAGTCTCTTATAAAGTCACTAACTCTATTCATGAGGGCTCCACACCCATCACCCCATCACACCCAATAGCCCCATCTCCAATTACCATCACACTGCCACATGCAGGCACCATCTGATTCCAATGAGCTCTGGCAGGGCCCTGAGGCAGTAAAGGACAACAGAGTCAGGAAGGCAAGGAAAGCTTATCACTGAGACGGCCAGCACCAGGAAAACCTCCACAGTGGCAAGGAGCCTAATTATGCAATTTGGCCTTATTACCAAGGCCACATTGGCCAAACTGTTTATATCCTTACATTCCCCTAAAACCCAGAGTTCCAGAAAGATCAATGTTGTCCGTTAAGAAAAAAATCTTACGTGAGCTACAGAGAGCCTTCTTTTTTACACTGGTTGACTTCAGCATTATGGTAAAAATAAATTGTGAAAAAAAACTCATTTTCAGCATCATGTGAATGTAAATATTTGTCTAGTAGCACCTGAGAAAGTACTCTGGGATAAGAAATACATATATTTAATTTCATTTTTTCCCCTTAATTTCCATGGTAAATAAATTGGATTATCTAATGGTTATATGATGCATAGAAGTTATACTGTTTTAAGAAAAATTATTTATGAAGTGTTTTCACATTTGAATATAGTGATTCCAGTTACCAGTGTAATGATTTAGGCAACAGGAGAATAATGACAGTATCTATTCTTGAGATTCTGCTCTATCAAGTGAATTTATGCAAAAGTGTTCTTTAAAATTTATGCCTTTTGACAACTAGTCAATATGTTATGTTGTTAGTACACTAACGTATATAGAAAAGAAAAACTAACATCTTTAATAGATGCTAAGTCACTTTCCATTATAAAAATTAATGGATGCATATGTATCTTATCTTAGCGACTCATTTAAAGGCATGAAACACCAACTAGTAAAATGAACAGGATATGATATAGAAAACTAGAGGAGTATAAGCACAATCATGCAATTCTATTTCCAGAGTTAAAAAAGGAAGATAGATTTTTTGTTCCATTTTCCCCCTTGAAACAACAAAGACTTAAAGAGATAAAATTTTATATTCTAATAGAATTCAAACCTAACTTCTATAAAAATTAATGCTTTAATTCTAGAATAAAAATGCTAGAGATGATTTTATAAATGGTATAATTAAAAATGGACCAACTGACTTAGTAAGTCAAACACACACATCACCTGTCTAAGAAATTTTGAGACAATCAATCACTCAGGTTTGCAGAATACCAAATGCATTTTTCTAAATGTCACAGAAAGGCTGAGCAGAGTTTCTCCAAGGACACTCTTACTTCAGAATGTTAACCGTGGAGACAGATTAAGTGTTTGTGGGAAAGGAGAGTAGAAATACCTGAAGACATTACACAGAAAGGTCAGTGTAAAGTCTGATAAATGTTAAAAATGCAATATAGAACGAAAAATATACTATATAAAGACACTACAAGAAGAAAACTCATGTATATTATCAGTTTAAAATATCTCTTTGACAATGAACTATTTGACTACTCTTTATTTTATCAAAATGATAAATTTCTCGCAAGACAGTACTAGTATAGTTCTGCTTTATTTTTTAAAAAATCTTTAAGCTAGCTGGCTACAAAACACATTGTAAAATCTGAAGTAAATGATTTTAACCTCATTAACATGACCCTAGAGTAGTGTTAAATGAACATTGATACTATTTTTTAAACATTTAACTTTCTTAAAACTAGTTATATAGAACTGGCACCACATTCAGTCTTGTATAAAAGAATACACAGCCAACAGGAAAATAACTGGGAAAGCAAAGTCAGCACGTGAGTTTGAAAATCAGTTATATTTTAAAGCGAAGAGTTTGATTAAATATTTAACAACTCTGCCACACTGCCGAAAATCAAAGTTTTATTTCTAAAGTAGGGACACAGAGATATCAGAAGAAAGTTGCTAAGTACAGTATCGATTTAACAACAGGAGATTGGTCTTATGTGTATTACCCAGCACCATTACTTTCTCTGTAAAACAACCCAAACTGAGCATATCAAATGCAAGGCTGTTTATTTTTTGCTCATTTTCACAGGTGATCCTTTGATGTTGAGTTTGTCCACGAAAACATTTGATCTTCTTCCACGTTCAATGCCTGGGCATTGAGATTTCTCCCTGAGAAATATACATATAAAAGTTAATACTTTTTTTAAAAATGGTCAACAGTTTATAAATCAATACAAACATGTTAAAAATCACTGTGATTTCAGCAAGATTTTACCTTAATAGTTTCTCAATAGCTCTGCAAAACATATGTCAGACGATTTCCCTTGACATTTAAGAAAGCGGCCGCTGCTTTCCTGAGGCAGATTTAACTATGCATCGTTTAACTACGCTGCCCCCATGGCAGCCACTAGCGATGTCATTTATATGGTAATAAAATCCAGCTTCTCAGTTGCACCAGCCACTGAGGGTGTGTGATTCCATAGCTACATTTTTGGACAGTATAGGTGTAGAGCATTTTCATCACTGGGGAACATCACTTCAGAAAGTTCTATCACGTGGTGCTAGTTTACAGGAAATGCCCGATAGGGCCATAAATTATAGATCATTTATAAAGAACCTGTTTTCTTTCACCATGGATTTCATAGTCACTCTGACCACTGTTAGACTTTTATCAATAAACTTTTCAAAGTGAGACAAATACTATCTAAAATTAATATTGGAGCAGATTTCCTATAGAAAATATTAGTGCTCTAAACTCCAAACAGGTATTTTAAAAATAAAAGGGGCTAGCACGTGAAATTCTGCATGAGGCTTCTGATTTACATTAAAATCTGTTTCACGTGAATAACTACATTATAGCATGTTCCTTAGGAGAAGTTAGCCCTTATCTTCTGAAGCATAATTCGCTAGTGAGTTACTAATCATGTAATCCTGAAATATTATTGTTTTTTTAGGTATAAAATTTAAGTTGTGTGGAATACTCAGATATAATGTAAATCACATCTTTCTCAAAAGATATTGTTGATGAAAACAACTTGGATGTTGAGAACTTCTTGATCACAGAGGTAAAATTATGAAACTTTTTTCCTAATTATTCTTTAAACAACACAATTTATTTTAGAAATAACCCTTACCTTCTTTTAAGTTCTCGGGCTCCTGAATTCTCATGCCCAACACTTCGGGGCATCCTGGTGTTTTCTAGATTGCACCACTGTCTCCCTTGTTTGTACTTTAAAATCTCATTTTGCCACTCATCGTCAAAAGCATGAGCATCACCTACATTAAACAGCGAAACAAAGGAGTAATATTAAGGTATCAGTCAGTCAGTAAATGTCTTGCTCCCCACAAACTTTATTCTAGTCTGATGTTTCCATCAACCTAACCTCAAGACAGAGGCAGGAATCTGCGTCAAATACAAAGGTCTCTGGCTCAGGGTAATATTTCCTTTTCTGTTAGTTCTTCTATTGATAATTTTGTCCCTGATGATCTGGTTTTCCACACGCCTGCCTGGATATCACATTATTCTACCCAAAGGACCCCTTGACCCAATTACACTGACTTTTAGTCTTCCTTCCTGTGTCTTCCCGTAGTGATCATCCTTTCTCTCTGTAGTTGGGCACTCCTCCTGTGGCTAGCATTCCTCCTCTCATCCTCACCATTTTCCTGTGTAATTTGACCTCACAAGCTTCTGTTGTCAATTTCCTAAGACAGTTTACTCGTTTTGACTGCCTACTTATGTTGTTATGAAGTAGGTAACCTCACTTCCATATTAACAACAGATAAATGGCTACACTTGTTCTTTCAGACTGCCTTTATAACAATGTATTCCTTCACTAAATCTTTCTTTTGTATGTTAATTATATTTTAATATGACAAAATTATAAAGGTTAAAAGTAACAAAAGGTTAAGATGTTGTGGCTTCCATTTCATTGCATAAGAATAAGTTTATCAAACTCCAACTTTAAGAGAAATTCTCTTTCTAAAATTACACAATAATTCAGACCCTTTACGGTATTAAAATATTTTTGTTTAGGATACTTTCTGAAAATAGGAGATGAATATAACTTTAAAACTACAACCAGAGAATTAGGATACGGGAAAGACAAATTCATTTAAAAATAAATGTAAAATCTAGAAAATGAAAAAATTTACTTGATACATACCCGATATGTAATATGTTACATTATATCTATTTTTAACAATACCAGAAATTAAAATCTTATCAATAGAAAAGCCTAAATATCTAAAAATACCGAATCATTTAAATAAATTATGGCCTATTTATTATAAAACTTTTAGGTAATCATTTAAAATGTTTTTGAAAAAAAAAATTTTAAAAAAAATGTTTTTGAAAAATGTCATAGGTGACTGTTCACAATTATAATGGAGAATTAAAATAAGCACTGTAAAAATTATATAAACACTAAAATATTAACTTTGAAAAAAGTATATATGTTGATATATGCATAAAATTATTAGGAAGAAATACACCAAAACATTAATAGTAGTTATTTTGGGTTGAAATTTCAGATAATTTTCTTCTTTATACTTTTTTTTGCATTTCTCAAATGTACTACTTTGAAAATCAGAAATATTTAAACTCATTTTGCCTACTGAATCTTACTAAATAACAATTCAAACTATTCCATTTCCCAAATAGAAAACATAAAATGGTACTCAGCATTACCAAAAATTACTATACAAACAGAACTACTATGAAATTATGAAAACACAATATTAATACTTTGATAAGGTATTTCCTACACATTTATAAACTACCTCAAAATGACTTCTTATGAAATGTTTCTACAAAAAGTATTCAAGTTCCACCAGTGCAGGTGCTATTTTGATTTTACCAGGAAGAATGCTATTTTCTGCAAACACTTACTTTCATTCATATTGATGAACTCCTGGTTGACCTCTTCATCTCCAGTCTTGTTGTTCTTTGATTTTTTGATAACATGAGCTCTGTCATGGAGATGATGACCAACAGCCATTTTTTCTAGTCCACTGTCAGAATCTCTCAATGCTTTCCTAGTTTCCTTTATCTGTAAAGGTAAAGAAAATAAAAATGGCTAATATTTAAATACTAGAGGCCTGGTGCACAAAATTCATGCATGGGTAGGGCCCCTAGGCCTGGCCAGCAATCAGGGCTAATCAAGTTCCCCACCTCTCTGCCTCCTCCTTCCCTCAGTCCTTCAGTGCCCCACCGCCACCGCTGGTCCCCCACCATGTTCCACACCACCCCCTGGTGGTCAGTACATATCATAGTGAGCAATTTAACTATCATTCTCCTGGTGAACTCCCGAGGGGTCACTTTGCATATTAGCCTTTTATATATAGATACATTGAATGGATTTAATTCTAAACTCCTCAGGGCCTGTTTACTACAGAGATTAGACCATCAATCTACTGTTCTAAAAATAATGGGCATTCAGTTTCACTACCAACTTGCAGTAAAATTATGGTAGTAATTCTCTGGTATTTCCTGAACTGCTTGAAATTAAAATGTCTAGGACAAATAGGACCAATACAATTTAATCTTTTGGTAATCAAATGTTAAATCAAAGAATAACTTAAATATAGAAAACCTAGTGCCTTTGACACTGCCCTTGACAGTGTAATAGTAATACATGTTAGCATTCTTGTAAGTAAGGCAACTAATTATTCAGCAGTCATGTTGATGATATTGAATCTCATGACTACTACCTATGAACTCTATGGGTTATTAGACTATCTATGATAATCAAAGCTATTAACATGGTTCTCTATGGGACATTTATATTTATATTCTGTTTACGTTTATGATGCATGTCATTTACAGCAAGTTAAAATTAAAATGTCTGAGATGAATTAGCTGCATTATTGCAAAAGCATCATTAAAAGATATAACTAACATGTAAGAACTACATAAATTAACCACTCACACCCATTAGATAGGCAAGCCTAACTTTTTTTTTTTACTATAATTACTAACAAAGACGACTTGGAGAAATGTGAACTCTTACACCAGAGTTTGTGGAAGCTGACTGCTTCAATCACTGTGTGATAATAACTTGGTAATTTCTAATGAAAATGATACACAGCTCCTACACCCAGTCAATGCCATTCCTATATCCTTTGCACAAGCAGACTTTTGTGAATATGAATGAAAAATTAGAAATACCCTAGTGTTTATCAGTAGAAAAGTAGATTTAAAAACCGCTATGTAATCATATTTGGGATACTATTAAGAAGTTAAAGAAACAAGAACTACATACATATATCAACTTGAATAAATCTGAGGCATATTATTGAGCAAAGTCAAGTTGCAGAGGACACTGCAATATGACACCATTATATAAAGTTTATAAATTTGAAAATAATTCACTATATTATTTATGAAGCATACATAAGTAACAAAATTTTAAAAACATGCATGAGAATGATAAAGGGAAATGGTGCTCTTTGGGGGAAGGAGAAAAGGAAAAGGGACCAAGGAGGGAGGAAGGCACTGGAAGCTTTAACTGCATCTGCAAAGTTTTTTGCTTAAAAAAAAAAAAAAACAAGAGACAAGTTAAACAGAGAAAAATGTTGTGAGTTAAGACATATAAATATTTATATTTATTCTTTATATCCTTCCTGTATACTTAAAATGTCCCATGAGTTAAAAAATTCATTTACTTCAAATATAAGTTAAAAGTAGACATTTGTTTATTAAACAAAGACTTCTTTTAGTATCTATGTATCTATCAACATATAAAGTTAATAAACATCAACAGATATTTATATAAATAAGGGTTGGGTGGGGAGACAAAAAATGCTTTATTGTTTTTCATAGTGACAAGGGTCTTCTCCAAATTCCCTCCTCCCCCCGACAGAACCAGCTCAAATTTGAATAATTAAACTTCGATAGAGGCAGTCATTCCACAACTCTATAAAACTCTAAGAATGCTTAGAAAATACTTACTCCTCCTGGAGCCTGACGGGTTTGAGTTGAGGCCTGGAAAACCCTTGGCGGTTCATCTCCTACTTTGGAATAAGTCATAACTGAGGAAGAAGTAAACGAATGTCCGTTGGGATCCATTGAAAGGTTACCCTACAAATATAAATTGTAAATTCAGAAAGTTTAGTCAAATATGCAGAACTAATGTCAGAGAACTCAAGTAAGTAATAACACAACCGGAAATTCTACTAAGGATACTATGCTATCATTATGGTGCAGCCAAATGGTACCACCAGGAAGGTCCTAACTTCCTTCCTTTTTAGCCACCAATTTCCACCTACTAGTGAGGAATACAAGTGAGTCACTCAAAGATCCTTAAGCCTTTGGGATCAAAGACCTATGGCTTAGCATTAAATATAGATGCTGTGATACTTTTAGTCAGTGGTTGATGTTTGTGTGCTGTTTTAACTTATATTTGAAGTAAATTTGCCAACGTTGAGCCAATTAACCATACACTAAGAGTTTTATACCTCCTGTGGGTACCAGATTGCTAATCACTAAAATCATTCTAAGGATCTTCAAGTGAGAAGACTAAATAACATGGGCCTTCTTCAGATTCAATCAAGTTATTGTTTTGATGTGAATATTGAGTAGAAAAGTAAGAGTGGTAGGATTACTTCATAAGTATTTGGATGACATGGATCTAATTTAGTGTCTAAATATCACTAAAATTTTCAGAATTTTTTAAACACTAAAACCTAATTTCTTAGATGATACAATTACTTTTAAGTAGACAAGTTATAAAATAATTTAAAAATCTAAATTCTTATAAAATGTTTGTTTACAATAATGACCTTCAGCAGTACAAATGCTTTTGAGGTTGATTTTTTTTTAACTTTGAAAGTTAATGAATGCTATTTTCCTCAAACTTGTTGGTTGTGAAACCAGTTTTGTGGGTTGTGACCAGGATTTTTAAAAAATCTGAAATAAAATAGAATACATCAGCACATATTGTAAATAGTATGATCATTTTCTTAAACTTTTTTTCAGGTATATTTAGTTAGCACACAAGTATTGTGTACTGTACCATGACATAAAACATATGTCATGGTACATATATATATTTGTGTGTGTGTGTATGAAAATGTCATTTTATCACATCACTATCAAAGGTAGATGCTATGACATATTTTTTAACTACTGTGTATCATGGTTAAAAAGAGTTCGAAAGCCACTATAATATTGGGTACTAATAACTGAAAATTATGTTCTCATCAATGTTTTAGTACTTACAAAGTTTCTTTGTAATTCCTGCATACTGTTTCGCATATTTAACATCATTCGGTCCATTGCCTGAAAAGGGCTGATTTCTGTATGCTACAGGATATTAGGAAGTATGTTATTAACTATAAGTACAACACAATGGAAACAAATCAACCATTCCAAAACAGATGAAACTTTTTTTTTCTCAATTTATGCAGTGGGATCTCATGCAGTAATTGACGAAGTAAAGATAATTTAAAGACTATACAATGAAAATAATTTGTCAAAGAAAATAATTAAAGCATACACAAAATCCCAAATAGCCAACATATAAATGATTAGGGAGCCATAACACTATAAATATATGCATACATATATGTGTGCGTGCGCACACACACACACACACACACAGATGATATAGAGGGAAGGACAAAAGTAGGTTCATAGTTGTGATTATGCAAAACACAAAGAATATTCTTATATTATTATTTATTAACTAGAGGCCCGGTGTATGGATTGGTGCACTGGTGGGGTCACTTGGTCTGGCCTGTGCCCTCTTGCAATCGGGGTGTCAGAGAGCCAGTTTCAGCTCAATCCCTGCAGGCCAGGCTGAGGGACCCCACAGGAGTATGAATCCGTGCACTGGGCCTCTAGTATGCATATAAGACCTTTGGTTAGTCTCTTTCTGACCTCTCCAGGTCTGTTTCATGTTTTCATATCTGTGTTTTCCGCTCCTTCATTGAGCATCTTCCCCCTGGTAGTTATTGCACAACATAGCTACCGGCCAGTCAGCTGGCTGGCCAGGTGGTCACTTAGGCTTTTATATATAAACTAGAGGACTGGTGCATGATATTCATGCACTGGACGGGGAGGGTGTCCCTCAGCCCAGCCTACACAGTCTCAAATCTGGGATCCTTCTCATAATCTGGGACTGCTGGCTCCCAACCACTCACCTGCCTGCCGGTCTGATCATCCCCTAACCACTCCCCTGCCAGCCTTATTGATGCCTAACTGCTCCCCTGCCAGCCCAATTGCCCCCAACTGCCCTCCCCTGCCAGCCTGGTTGTCCCTAACTGCCTTCCCCTGCTGGCCTGGTTGCCCCTAACTGCCCTTTCCTGCCGGCCTGATTGCCCACAACTACCCTCCCCTGCTAGCCATTTTTGACAATATGGGGGTGGCCATCTTGTGCGAGGGCATGAGGGTCTATTTGCATATTACCTCTTTATTATATAGGATAGATTACTGTATTATTTTCCATATGAATAACTGTAAACCTACTTTTGCCCACCCTGCATGTGCAATAACATGAATATATACACAGTATCATCCATCAACTTCTTAAAAATATATAGATTTTATTGATTTCAGAGAAGAAGGGAGAGGGGGAGAGAGAAACATCAATGATGAGAGAGAATCATTGACCGGCTGCCTCCTGCACGCCCCCCACTGGGGGATCAAGCCCATAACCCAGGCACGTGCCCTTGGCCAGAATTGAACCTGGGACCCTTCAGTCCGCAGGCTGACGCTCTATCTATTGAGCCAAATCCGCTAGGGCCATCGACTTTCTTAAAACATATTTAGCTAATAAATAAACACTGATGTATTCTGGACTGGGACAGCTCTAGCATACACTAGCCTTCAAATCTTTCCTTCCCTCTCTTAATACCCCACCACGCAAATAAATAAAACTTGGGCATAAGATACCTGCATCACTCACACCAGTACCACATGGCTGACAGAAGTTGAGCCAGCCCTTCTTTTTATCACTGCGGGGTCCAGGTGATAGATGTTCACTCACTCTACTAATTTGCCGCCTACCATTGAAGGCTCATAGGACACACACCCTTGAAGCCTGACGCATGCTCCTTTAGGAGGAGAGCTGAGAATTCCTCTAGAACAGTGGTTCCTAACCAAGAGAGACTGTGTCTCCAGGGGGGTTCTCCAGGGAGACACTCAGTTTTGTTTGTCACCACTGACTGGCATATAGTGTGTAGAAGCCGGGAATACCACAAAACATCTTACAAAGCAGTGGGCAGCCCCCAGCTGGAGAGCATTATGCTACGCAAAAAAAAAAAAACCCAAAAAAAAACCAGTCAGAGAAAGATAAGTATCACATGATCTCTCTCACATGTAGAATCCAATGAATAACATAAACTTATGAACAAAAATAGGCCCAGAGACACAGAAGCATCGAACAGACTGAAAAATCTCAGAGGCAAGGCAGGGGAGTGTGGATGGGTGGGAAGAGATCAACCAATGAACTCATATGTGTATATGCATAACACATGGACACAGACAACAGAGTGGTGAAAGCCTGGGTTGAGGGGCGGGGCGGGGCAGGGTGAGAGAGGTCAATGAGGGAAAAAGGGGATCTGTGTAATACTTTAAACAATAAAGAGTGAAAGACACACTGACTTTATAATTATTAAAAAAACAAAAAGAATTGTCCTAACTGGTTTGGCTCAGTGGATAGAGCGTCAGTCTTTGGGCTCAAGGGTCCCAAGTTCAATTCTGGTCAAGGGCATGTACCTTGGTTGTGGACGCATCCCCAGGAAGGGGTGTGCAGGAGGCAGCTGATTGATGTTTCTCTCTCATAGATGTTTCTAACTCTTTCCCTCTCTCTTCCTCTCTGAAATAAATCAATAAAATATATATTTTTAAAAATCAGCCCAAAGTGTCAGCAGTGTCACATCTGAGAAACTGCTCTAGAAAAATCTATATTTTAGGTTTTATCACTGAAATATTCACCAGAAATTAAAAAGTAAAGCACACATTCTAATGTGCCACCCAATGCACAGTCTGCTACTATTAAACAGAGAGACTGTTTGGTTCAAGTCACTCAAGCAGGAGGACTCTTTCGAATCCTGTCAGGCCCTGTGATTCAATGCTGATAGTGCAGCTCTGCTGGAGACCCTTTTGCTGTGCCAAGCTAGGACTCACCAAAAAGTTATCACAGGCCTATTTATGCTTTTGCCTTCTGCTATGTTTTTATTGCTAGAAAAAAAAAAAAAAAAAAAAGGATGGAAAAACCAAATTCCCATAATTTTTTTTAATATTTAGAACACGCACTTAACACAGTACAGAACACAAATGCACATTGAGGAGATACTGATACATCCTTGGCTGCAATATAATTAATCTGCATTTCAGAGATTCAGGAAATCCTACCTAATAAAGAAGGAATAAGCTAATTGACCCTCATGCTGTCGCAAAAGTGGCAGTGCTCAGTCAGTAAGGAGGGAATATGCCAATTGACTGCCATGCTTTCAAAGATGGCGGCACCCAGTCTTCTCAGCCCCACCGCACACCTGCTTCCAGAGTCCCCCAGTCCCCTCATTCCCCCAGCCACCTAGGGCCGGCCTGAGGTGCAGGCAAGCCTCAGATGGCAGCTGCCCAGCTGCCCAGGGCTGCCCGAGGCCCAGGTAAACAGGACTGGCTGAGGTTTGCATTGCTGGCAGTGGCAGCAGCAGAGGTGTGATGGGGGCATAGCCTTCTCCTGATCGCCAGGTTGCCTCCCGCCTCTTAGGGTTCCAGCACTGCGAGAGGGGACAGGCCCGGCTAAGGGATCCTCCCATCTAGTGTATGAATTTTCATGCACCAGGCCTCTAGTATTCTGAATAACCAGGCTGTATGAGACACAATTCTTAAAGAGCTGAAAGGGAGCTGGGCCAAGGAATAGGAGGAAAAGAAGAAGAAGAAGAGATGATCAGATGTTTGGGTATGCTCTGCCCTATTCTCAATTCACTGTCAAATCAGTCATCAAAAGATGTATTTGTACCTTTCTCTGGAGGGCCCAACACCTGAGTGACAAAAAGTAGGGGTACAAATTACAGCTGAGATTCCAGTGGGCTCACAAGGCCTTCAGAAACTTTATACACATGCTTTCTTCTCTGCCTAGAATGCTCCCCCTCACTCAGCATAGGTACTTCCTGCTCAGCATTCGAGTACCTTCTTAGAAAGGCCCCCTATCCAAACTAATGTCTGCTCACCTTCCTCACCGTATCATTACCCCACGTCATCTCCTTCAGAGTTCTTGGAAGTACTTGGACCTGAAATCATGCTGTTGTTTACCATCTGTTTTCCCACTCTATAAAAAGAAGCTCTGAGAAGGTAGGGCTGTCTTATTCACTACTATCCTCCCAATATTTTAGAAATACTTCCTGGCATACAGGAAGGTGCAATAAATATTTGCCGAGTGAATGTACAAATTCTAGCTCAGCTCAAACCCTTATGTCCAACTATTTACCAGATAGGTAAACCTATCCGGACAACACACAAATGCATCCAACACCAAAGGCCCCAAAGTGAAATGATCCTTTTGGCCATTCCTGCCCTCGTATCTACACCATATCGATGTTCTGTTTCTTATCTCAGTGGGATTCTCTTTCTCTACTGCTCCTGTAACTCTATCCATCACCAAGTTTTATCTATTCAATTTTGCCAAATGAGATATTTCTCGTTATCAGCACAGCCATTACCCAAGTAGAAGTGATCCTGAATGGTACTCACAACACTTTAACAGCCTCATGACCGCCCTGCCTCCACTGTGGTCCCTTCTCATTTCGCCACCCCCCCTCAAGCACAATGATCTGTTTAAATGAGAACCTGATTCTATTACTATTTTGATGAAAATTGATTAACTGCTTCCTCTGCTCTTATGATAATGTCCACAGTCCTTGCCAGGCTGAAAGAAGTCCTTGGTTACCTCTCCATCCTCCTCTACCTCGACTCTTCAACTCATACTCTGGGGCCCTGTGATCCTCAATGTTTTTGTGCTCCTTAGCCTCCAGGTCTTTGCAGGTGCTTCTTCCTTTGTGTTGAGGACTCTTCTCCCCACCCTGTTTTCCCTGGCTAACTCCTACTTAATGTTCGTGGAGTCTTCTCTGATTGACCTCTATCCCCCTACCCCAAAGGGTTACAGGGTTTTCCTATCTGTGTTCCCACAGTATGTCAAACTGCCTATCATTTTACTGATAACTCTGCTATAAATGCTTCTTTTGTCACTTGTCCCTCTGAAAACTCTGATCAGGAAGGTTAAACTTTAAGGATACAAATGGTTGAAGTCAAGCACAAGAGAATTAAAACACACACACACACACACACACACACACACAAAAAAAAAACACACACACACACAAAAAAAACTTTTTCATAAGTGTAAATGCATCCATAGGAAATGTTCCAAAGTCATGCTATTCTCTGCTGCTACTCAGACTGCCTTCCTAGGTGTTAGAAACTAGCATTACAGAAAACGGGGCACACGCCCAAAGAAACACCGGTGGGAGAAAAGCGGGGTGCAGCGCAGGCACATCTGGACGTGGGAAAGAAGCAGCAGCACAAACAGCCAGAAGAGGCCGAGAGAAAGCAGCCGGTCTGAGCTTCGCCAAACATGCTTGTCTGCCTCAGGGCTGGTGCTTTTTGCCTGTTGGAAAGTAATCCTAAGCATGTCTCCAACTTGTAATCCCTTTCGGAAATCAACTGAATGCCCATTCATCTATTAAAATGTACTTTTTATTTTTGAAGACCGATTTTATATATATGGATAGGACTTACTTCAGAAAACACATGCCAACACACTCTAAAATAAACTTAGTTCATGAAACGGGTTTTTAGTATAAATACTAAAAAGGCACTACTATAAAAGTAAAGCTGCATGCCAATTCAATGAGCTTGAGTTAATGAAAAAGAAATATGTTAGGAAATAGTGCTAAAATGGCTTGTGTCTCATGATACGAACCATACCACCAAAACTGCCAAAAGGCACAAGAGAATTCACTGCCTAGAAAAAAAGTCAATTAATTTTGGTCATGATATTTATATGATAATCCCAGGAAGAGAAAGATATGCACTATATACTCACACAGTTCAGTGCTAGTAAAATTATAGAACCTTTTAATCAAACAGAACTCAGCATATATTTTTAAAATTCCCTGCTTATTATTCATTGTAATTGTATGGCAGGCAAGTAGGAGACACTATATATCACTTTTAAATATGACTACTCTAGTATTTATTAAAGGGAGTTTAAAAGTATTTGCCATGGCTTAATACATACATATCTCAAAGAAAATTCACACCAAAATTAATTAAAACATAATGTACAATGATTAAGATTATATCATCTTTCCTTTGCTCGGCTATTCCATATTTTTAAATCTTGCCTGTAACTGATTAAAAGATCTTGCCTGTAACTGATTAAAAGTAATCTTGCCTGTAACTGATTAAAAGTAAAAATCTATCCACATTAATAACATCTCAAAAGATTAGTAGAGATATTGGACAAAAAAATTTTAATAAATATCTCCTAAGAACTAATTTATGAAATAAAAAATACAGACTTCAGAAAGGATCACACACACAGATTTAAAAGTATTTAAGGCCTTCAATAGGCAAAAGAATGTTAAGTATAATAGATGGAATAATAAAAATTTATAGTTCAAAAATTATACTCAATAGATAAAGAAGAATAAAAAGAAAACCTTAGACACATGTATACAAATGAAAAACTTTCATTACTTGAGGGTTTCAAATGTTGAAAACATTATAGAATTTCTGGGTAAAAGGTGTATATATATAATCAGTGATTTTCCCCCCCGTGTAACTTATGTTGAAAAATAGAAGAAGAAAAACTGTGTTTACATTAAAAATTGTATATCAAATGATATATACTTATTACTGTATATCTACAACAGTAATCTCCAAAGTGTCTTGGATACACCAATAAAATTCTTCTATTTTTTGTCACTGAAAGAAAAAGAATTCCTCTTTTTATTTCTTTTTATTGACTCTGGTACCAACACTCAATCTAAATGTCAGATGCTCACATGTCACATCTTGAATGATAAATGGCCTAATTAAATACATTTAAAGATTAAGTTATCTAGTTTTAAGTAAAATTAATCTCCTCAAAATGGACAACTGGCTTAAAAATAGCCCCATAAAGAAATCATGAACTGAAGAAAATGCTAACAATACAAAGCCAAGGAAATGGCATAGCTGATGCTTCTCCTACTTTTGTCGGAAGCTGTTTTCCCTCACAATATGGCTGGTGAAGATGACAACTGTCACATAAGAAATGGGCCCCCAAAAAAAGAAAAAAGAAAAGGATCAAGGTATCTTTTAAAAGCACTGGCATAATAGCTTACTACTCCACCAAAACACTCATTTTGAAACTTCACTTCACAAAAAGAGAGAAGCTTTGTATTAAAAGTTTAGCTAGCATGCTCAAAAAGCCTATTGTTTTTTGGTGTTTTTTTTTGTTTGTTTGTTTGTTTTTGGCTATGGTCTTTCAAACTTAGCACTTCTCTCTTTCATCTGCTGCAGTCAATTTCTAATTTTTGTTTTAAGCACAAATACCCAGGAAAGAAAGATTAAGTTCCATTTCCAGTGAATGACCAGCAGCTTACAGCTGATGTGAATGGGCAACCTCTGTAAGAACTTTACAGTTGAATTACAAATACATCTCCATCTGAACAGGACTTGAATTGTGACCTCCTGGTTCATGGTCAATGCTCAACCACTGAGCTACACCAGCCAGGCCTGAGATTTTTGTTGTTGCTATTGTGTACGTTTGCAACTTAGCTTTGCTCTCAGACAAGACTTATGAAGATATACTGCAATTATGCAAGACTTTTGAATACAGTTAAAAGTTAATATAAAATTTGAAGATCTAAAACTTTAGATTGTCTTTGAAGGAGTCAATTGACTATGAAGAAGATTGGCTCTTCCTGGTTCAATAGTGATAATTATGCTATAGCTTTGACTGCTATTTTGAAGTGGCAAAGAAAATTGTATGGGACAGAAAATATATGCCCTTGCCTGTTCTAATTTAAGGCATGAGAAGCATTTCTAAGGTGAGAACAAATCATACATATACATATGAAACAATGCTTTTAAGTTTGGCTTATAATACATAACCATATGATCTTAAAAGTTTAGGTAGCATAGTGAAATTCCATATAGCTAACAGGTCATTGTTAAAGGGTTAAGCTTTCCAACAAGTCCCTCCCATTATAGAGTAGTAATTTCCATTACATAAGTATTAGTCATATCCTGTCATGATAGGGACATTCTTCAAATAACACCTTTCTTCAAATTCCCACTAACTTTAAAATAAAGAACTTACAGTCAGAAAATTTTCCCCATCATCACGTCCTGAACCATTACGAGCTCTTCTTCTGTCACTTCTCCCATCAGAGATGCCAAGCAAGTCTCTTCCGAAAGGTTCAGAAAAACTTCTCATCACCTGTCGCATACTATCTCGGTGTGCATGAAAAGAATCACTGTTGAAAATCACATAAGAATAAGTGTTGGAATTTAAATAATAGGCAGATAAATACTACAATGCAGTATTTTGAGCTAATATGTATGCTAAAGTGACAAAAGAACACTTTAGAATAGAACCCTATACAATAAAAGCCTAATATGCAAATTAACTAAACAGCAGAACAACAGGTGGAACGACCGGCAGCTATGATGTGCACTGACCACCAGGGGGCAGACACCCAATGCAGGAGCTGCTCCCAGCCCACAGGCCCTAGAGGTGACAGGTGGAGGTGGCAGGGGGTGGTGCCATGCCAGCCTAGGTGGGTGCCAACGAGGGGGGGGGCAATTGTTTCACCAGAAGCCCCACAGATTGGCCCTGATTAATGGCCAGGCCTAGAGACCCTTTCCATTCATCAAGGGAAATTTCTTCTTTCCTTCTTTCTGCTACACGTACTAGTAGTAAAAGCATGCTTAGCCAGCAGATTGTAAAAATCCATTATTCATAAATACAATGTATAGACAATAGATGTCTCATAATAAAGACATCAAATACAGAACTGTTCTTGTTATTTACTATAATTCACTTATGAATAATAAAAATATATCTTTAAAATTTATGATATAAAAATGTTAAACACAAAGTAACACATCTCTGGCAGCATAGGCTAGTTCTAAGGGAAATGGAAAAAAGAAGACTGGAAAATTCTGCTGCCAGGTAGAGGCCACTGTGGGCAGTCAACAACATAAATTCTAGTCAGGACTAATAAAGTATTTCATTTCTCAATGATAATGCCTAATGATACCCAGAAATCTGATTTTTGTTAATTTTGTTTGATGTGAATATGGTATTGTGGTTATGTAAGAAGATAACCACATTTTTCATAGATTAATGTATTGGGAAATATGTGAGGTGAGATAACAGAAAGTCTGGAGTTTGCTTTTAAGACATTTTGGAGGCAGCAGCAGTTATAGAGATAAATGTAGCAGGTGTCAATTCTGAAGTCCTGGGTATTGGGTACACAGTATTGACATAAACCATTGTAGTATACATTTAAAATAAATAGTTCATAATAAAGATAAAGCTACGTAGAGTTAAAAGATTTCATACCACTTGATATTTTAAAATGAATGATTCAAAAGAGAGCCCATTTACTGAGAGCTTTATATTCACTGGATATTTAGAGCTTAGAATCCTATATAATAAAGGAGGAATATGCTAATTGACCATCACTGCGACACAAAGATGGCTGCACCCACAACTGAGGCCAAGTTCCCATGAGGAGCCTTAATGAGCAATCAGCAGGGACCTGAGGCTATGCCCTCCTTCTTCCCCAAAGGGCTTGACAGGGGACCTCAGGCCGTGCCCTCCACCCAGTGGGGCTTGACAGGGGACCTCAGGCCATGCCCCCCACCCACTGGGGATTGACAGGGCATCTCAGGTCATGTCCCCCACCTGGCAGGCTTTATGGAGGATCTCAAGGCTGGGCTGGGAACCTCAGGTCATGTCCCCCATCTGGCAGGCTTTATAGAGGACCCCCGGTCTGGGCTGGGGAACCTCAGGCCACGCCCCCCCTTGGCGCTGGGCCAGAGGACCTGAGGCTATGCCCCCTGCCTGGCAGGGCTTGACAAGAGTGGGACTGGCTGGGTCTGGATCTAGCCCAACAAGGTAGGGGGGGTAGCCCGGTCTGTGTCTCACGGGATTTTGAGGAGCATGTGGGTGGATGGGTGGGGACTTGACTCTGGGTCCTGTGGTGAGCCCCAGACTCTGACAGGAGGAAGGTTTTCATATACATTTTACTTGTTTTCCTTCATCTCTGGCACTTCTATTCTAGAGAAAGGGCAAATAGCAACATTAAATTATCTCCTCTAATTAATTCCCCATTTAATGTGTACAAATTTCGTGCACTGGGTCACTAGTATGTATGTGAATATGGAGATTAAAATGTTCATCACTCAAGATATCTTCAAATGCAATGAAGAAAGATACTTAAGGGAATATGAAATTTTGTACTGGGGATAAATGATTATGAAGCAGCTTATTTCCCATTAGAAACATGCAATTCAGTGAGTCTTATTCTTCTGATTGCATTATATACCATTGGGTTAGAAATTCAGCAACTGAATGTGGCTAATTTAAAATGTTGCCCAGGGTTCTCTTTATTTAAACAGGAGCAGGTATATTTATATGTAGGGCAAATGCTAAAAAAGAAAGCTTTACTTTTTGAGTGACAAGAACAAAAGGCTGCCTGTTGGAAAAAGCGTTAAGATGACAGTGGGCTTGCAGCCTGGCTTTTGCACCTGTCCAGACCACTCAGGAAGAATCTGGCTGGACCCTGAAGTGAGTGCAACTCACATCTCCCCAGAACAGCTACTGGTTGCAGATGAGACTTCAAGATTTCTCTTGTTCAAGCCAAACATCTCTGGCAGTAGTCAGCAACTGTTTTAACACGTTTTTAAATTAACCTAATGCAGGGTTTGTCAGGTGAGAAGTTAATAGTTTTTACATATTTCTATCTGTACATATTGTTCTCCTTTGAAATTAATGTTTCATTCTTTCAGGGAAATTTCACTTATACTATTATGATGGCCATGCTGCCTCTTTCAAGATCACTGGCACAAACCACAACTAAGCATAGTGACATTTGGTACTAAATGTACTTTTTCTACTCCATGTTATTAATCTATCACAAGATAGGGAAAAATAAATTGTTATTCCCAACCACCCAAATTTTTTACTCTTAAGTTGATTCTGGGCCTGTTTGGAATAATTTCGACATAAACGTGTTTTTTAAATTTAATTTTATTTTCCTAGAGATAGAAGAAAGGAGAAAGAAAAAGAAACATTGATGCGAGAGCCAAATGTAGATTGATTGCCTCCTGAACACCCCCTAGAGGGGACCAAGCCTGCAACCCCTGCATATGCCTGGACTAGGAATTGAACTGGCAACTGTTTGGTGCCTGGGATGAGGCCCAATTAACTGAGCCACTTTGGACAGGGGATGAAAGTTGGCTTTTTTTTTTTTTTTAATGTATTTTATTGATTTTTTACAGAGAGGAAGGGAGAGGGATAGATAGTTAGAAACATTGATGAGAGAGAAACATTGGTCAGCTGCCTCCTGCTCACCCACACTGGGGATGTGCCCACAACCAAGGCACATGCCCCTGACTGGAATCGAACCTGGGACCCTCCAGTCCGCAGGGTGACGTTCCATCCACTGAGCCAAACTAGTTAGGGCAGAAAGTTGGCTTTTTAAAAAAATTTTTTAAAGGGCTGGTATAGTTTCACTTCAGAATAAATCCTGCTTTTAAGGTTCAAATACAAATATACACATGTATATATCCACATGTACATATATATTTGGGGGCACAGCTTATAATTTTATTTAGTCTGTATAAGAATATAGATATTTATACTTCTAAATAAAAACCATTACATTATTTATTACATAAGGGACTCAGATTGATATGGCAGTTCCATTCATCAAGGGAAATTCCTTCATTCCTTCCTCTCACTATACGTATTAGTAGCAATAGCTTGCTTAGCCGGCAGATTGTTATGATTCTCTTAATAATAAAGAAATGTTCCCGAATGTCAATAAGGTGTATGGGTACATAAAGAAAATACATCAAGTAATCCAAAATTTAAAGCTAGAACTAATACAGGTAACATTCATAAGGAAATCTTGAGGGCATGGGCCATAACTTCTCCAAATTCATGTTAGAGTCCAGAGGGCTGAGTATATAGTAGAAACCCAAGAAACACATGAAGAATGAATTACATAGCTACAGGCACTCTGTTTCCCCAATAATCAGAAGCACGGTTTAAAATGGTAGTTTGGCATAAACCTTTGCTACTGAGTTGTAGGAATGACTATGATCCCTCCCATTCTAAACGTATTCCCCTACTTTTGCGTGAATATTTATAATGTTTACTTTTATTTTTAAATACCAGAGGCCCGATGCACAAAATTTGTGCAAGAGCAGGCCTTCCTTCCCCCAGCTGCCGGCACCAGCTTCCCTCTGGCACCCGGGACCCGGGCTTCCCTCGCAGCCCGGCTTCGTCTGGAAGGTCATCCAGAAAGACGTCTGGTCTAATTAGTATATTATTTTTTTATTATTATAGATATATATTTAAATCAATTTTGGAGAGCCAAGAGCAAGGGATAGAGAGATAAAAACATCAATAGTGAGAATCATTGATCAGCAGATCCTCTACTGGGGATTGAGCTGCAAGCCTGGCATGTGCCCTGACTGGGAATCGAATCGTGACCTCCTGTTTCATAGGTTCATGCTCAACCACTGAGCCACACCAGCCGGCTATAATGTTTATTGATACAACTAAGCATTAAGACATGTTAGATGCTATCAAGTGGCATTTCTTGACCCAGCCAACTGTCATAAATGTGTTGTATTCCTTAACTACCCAATGAACCAAAAAATGCACCAAACCAAGTCTACCTTAAAAATCCTTTCATTTTAGGGTTTATAATACCTCATTCTATAAATATGATATCCTAAAATATGTATAATTAAATTATAAGAAATATCCTTATAAGAATATTTCTGAAAACATAATTTTTTAAATGCAAAAACTCATAGTAGCTGTTAGGAGTCTTAAAATGGGATCCTGAAAATGAAAACTTTAAATTCTAGCTGAGTACTCTAAAACTAACTTTATTAAATGATTAAAATTAGAATACTATTTAGCACCAAACTACGTCATCTTAATGAAGATCTTACCTCAAACTATATGTATGAAAACAAATATGTAAGTAACCTCAAACATTGTTCACAAAAGTTTATCTAGTAAGGTACTTTTTATTTCCTGCTATGACAGTATTCTCAATCAAGAAAATATCAGTCACCCTAGCTGGTTTGGCTCAGTGGATAGAGCGTCGGCCTGCAGACTCAAGGGTCCCAGGTTCGGTTCTAGTCAAGGGCATGTACCTTGGTTGCGGGCACATCTCCAGTAGGGAATATGCGGGAGGCAGCTGATTGGTGTTCCTCTCTCATCATTGATGTTTCTAACTCTCTCTCCCTCTCCCTTCCTCTCTGTAAAATTCAATAAAACATATTTTTAAAAATCAGTTTAAGAAAATATCAGTCAAGTCCACCAGTGTGACTCAGTGGTTGAATGTTAACCCATGAACCAAGAGGTCGCGGTGTGATTCCCTGTCAGGGCCATGCTTGGGTTGTGGGCTTGATCCCCAGTAGGAGGCAGCCAATTGATAATGTTTCTCTCTTATCAATGTTTCTATCTCTCTATCTCTCTCCCTCTCTTCCTAAAAAAATCAATAAGAACAGATTAAGAAAAGAAAATATCAGTCAATATATTTTTGTATATGAAACACATTTACTCTCAATTCAGTCAATGAATATGCCAAAAGAAGTGTCCTCCAATTATCTCCACTTTGCAAAACGAAATATTTAAAAATTTAAGTAGAGATTATAAAAATGTAAGTTTTGGCTTCTATGAAGATCAAGGAGATGGAAAATCAACATCCTGTGAATAAATGCAGTTCTTTGACCAAAGACACATATGGTGTCCATATGAAGAGTTGGGTGCCTTAAGGAAATGCTAACAATTTACGATTAAAAATAACGCTGATAGATATGTCAAACTGCTTCTGAGCCTTTAATATCTAGCAGCTTATAAATGCTAACATAGATATTCTTTGTAGATTTGCAAGATCAGAAATCCATTTCCATAGCTCAGAAAACTCATGTTTCTGTACAAGGTAGAAATTTTCAGATTGTACTAGATATATACTTTTATAGTAAATAATCAACTCTTTTAGGGTATAGGATAGATACCAAAATAACTTTAACCTCAAATTAGTTTTCCTGCCCAAACATACATTATTTTTATTTCTTCTTTAGCAAATATAAATGGGAAGGGAAAGTAGCATCTTTGAGAGAAAACTGCATGCCTGGAAGTACCACCATTTTTTTTGTAGCCTTTGTGTTTTTAACCAAATTACAAGTATTATTTATTTACAAGGTATATATGAACATATGCCGTAAGTCCATTTTCATTGAAATAACTTCAGCTCAGCAACATAAGATACCAATATAAAAATCCCAAATATACACAACAAACAAATCACTTTTAAAATTTCCATTTAATTTTCTGTTGAAATTTAATACGTGCTATTATGTGGAGGTAAACATTTTAAATGAATATATTTGAACTTAAAACCACTATTTTAATTGTGTTTTTACTCAAGATCTTTTAAGCATTTGACAATTTGACCACCGTATTTTACCAGTCTCAAACTATTGAATTATTATAATTTTATATACAAGAAGTATATATTTTGAATGTTCTCACTTTTAAATAATTAGTAAAGTGTACTTATATTGATATCCTTGATTCTGAACTGATGAATTATTTAGGAAATGGCACTGTTCAAATCAAAAAGTGCCACATCAACCATGGCATTTGCTGAATGCAAATAATTGCTTTCAGCAAAAAATAACCAGAGTAACGACAAGACAAAGAGTAAAGGAAACCAGATTATCATTATACCATATTTACTGAAAACTTTCTACATGTCAGACATCCAACTACCCACAGGGAACCCAGTGACCAGACACATAATGTTAGCAATAGGGATAATGCTTACAGAAAAAAAAAAAAAAAATGAATTCCCTATGTTTGACTTCCATTAATTAATGGATATTCATTTCATTTGAGGTTGGGGTAAAATGGGTAGGTCACATGACATTACCTGAAATAAATATAAACTCACAGGTGTTCCCCAAAATATGTTTACTTTCTATAGAGGTGGTTGTGGAACAAATTAATTAAAAGCATGAATCAGTTTTATAAAGTTAATAACAATAATTCTATCTTACACTTTTATGATCCAGTTTCCTACCTTTAAAGAAGGCGATGACTGAAAAGACCTACTCACATGTAACTGATGGTCTTTTCCACCCTGAGCACAGGGAAGAGAGTTCTCTGAGGCATGCCTACTATTTGTGGTCTGTTACTATTTCTGATCCTGACCCTTGGGTTCACTGCCTTTGCTCAAAAGAGTCACCCAAGGGTTTAAATTACACCTTTGCTAGACATCTTAAAGCAGGTACTAATTATACATTCACAGTTTAGTTAAGGCCACTGCTCTTTTGGAAACAATCAAAGACCTAATACACCAGACGTGTTGTGTACCATAATCTTCTTAACCCATTGTACTGATGTCACAGTTTCACAAGAACCACTTCAGCAGCTCTGCTAATCTATGGATATATTTAGTCCCTACTCTCAGAGGCTTTTAAAAGAGCAGATCGTAATACAAACTTTGATATTTGTTTTTAAAATGGCACTGGTTGTAAATGGCCCGATAGCTTCTAAACAAATGAACTCCAACAGCACAATGAATTTGCTGTTTAATGAGTAACCTTCAGAAGAGTTGGTACAACTGAACTTTCTTAGTCACACCAGAAATTAAAGTCTCCTGGAGGTATTAATTGCATTTATAGTCCTATTTGTTTCATTAGCGTTGATTCCTTAAATGTGAGTGTAGCTATTGCACTGTTAATTATTCTCTCAATTATTACTTTGATGTTATGTGGTTTTAAACATTTGTGTCGGCATTTTCCTCTAAGGAAATCTACATGGAAGGTAAACTGTTGACATTTTAACCTTAAAGAAAAAGGGGTCCCTAAGTTGCCTAGACTAGAGAAAGAATTTAAGCAACCTAATTAAATCAAGGACAACAAGTCAAAGTTCAAACTGACAAAACCCTTGAGGGGAAAAAAAAGGTATCACAAATCTTTCTGTTCTCGAGATGCAATTACATTAGATCATACCTTTTATATAATCACCAAAAGAAGAATTAAAAAAACAAAACAAAAAAAACCAGAAAGCTAAATCAGAATGGAACAACTAATTCATGTCTGGATGTCATCTTCCAAAGGCATCACATTCATGTCACTTGGACCGGCCTACAGGTTGGCACCTGTTACCAGGGTGTTACATGCACCCTCTCCCTGCTTCCCTGTCCTCGCTGTACACCTGACCCAGGCAGTGTCCCTTCCCAAACAAGGCCAGCTTTGCAACAAAGCGAACAAGGAAAAACAAACATTGCACATGGCAACTCCCAAGCCCCTGGAGGGGGAGAAGCAGCGCAACTCTCCGCACAAACACACGATTAACAGTGCTGTTCTAGAAAAATGTTTCCCTCCTCGGAGAACTGCCACCCCCTGAGACCCTCCCTGGCCCTCATGTGGGGTCCACACAGGTGTGGGGAGGTCCTGAGAGCATGCATCCTGCTCACCGTGAGTTCCACCGGCGGGTGGCCGTTACCCAGAGGCAGTTACCGCCCCTGCGAAGCCCCTGCAGCTTCGAAGCCTCACCCGGAGGAGGAAAGCAGAGGGAGGGGTGGGGGCACCCCAAGTCTGGCCAGAGTGGGCGGAGAGCGGCTCTCACCCCGGGTGCGGGATGCAGGGGAGGAGAGGGCGGCTCAGACCTCTGCTCCCCTCTCCCCCCCCAAGTCCTTCCCCATCCCAGCTCCCCAAACTCTTCTCGCTTCACCTCGCGGACCCAAACTCTCTTGCTTCTCGCTACGTTCCCCCCAAACCTCCTCTCCCCTCCCTCGTTCACCTCTAAGTCAAGGTGACCAGACGTCCCGCTTTTGGCGGGACAGCCCCGATTTTTAACAATTTGTCCCGCGTCGTTTTAAAAAAAGTCCCGATTTTTGGAAGAAAGGGGTGGTGGGGGGGGGGGGGAGGGTGTCCTTAAGTTACCTAGAGAAAGAATTTAAGCAATCTAATTAAATCAAGGAAAACAAGTTAAAATTCAAACTGGCAACAACAACAACAAAAAGGATGCAATTACATTGGATCATAAATTTTATATAATCACCAAAAGAAGATTTAAAAAAAAAAATCAGAAAACTAGATCAGAATGGAACAACGAATTCATTTTTGGAAGAAAATCGGGACTTTTTTAAAACGCCGCGGGCTGCGGGACAAATTGTTAAAAATCGGGACTGTCCCGCCAAAAGCGGGATGCCTGGTCACCTTAAGACCTCTCCTCCCTTCTTTCCCCCAAGTCCTCCTCTTCCTCCAGCTGCCCCCCGGAGTCCCCTCCTCGCCCTCTCCAACCCGCTCTTTCCCCTTACAATAGTTCCCCAGAAACATCCCGCCACTGCCGGCCCGGACACTCACGAGAAGAAGGGGTCGTCCTCGAACCCGCTGTTGAGCATCCTGAACATGCTGGCGGCTCGGCCGCGGCGGCGCGGACCGGTGCGAGGACGATGTAACGCGCCGCAGCCGCGCCAGGACCCAGCCCGCCCCGCGCAGTCCTCGCTTCTTGCCGGGCGGCGTAGGCGGTGGCCGCCCACAAAGGCGGAGCCGGACGCAGAGCTGGTCTCCCATTGGATGCCGGCTCCCTGACGTCACAGAGACGGGGCGGGGACAATGAGCCGCTTCCATGACAACTGGGATCAACAGGGAGGTAAGCGTTCGGACGGGTGCCAGCCAGGCAACCCATCGCCAGCCTCCCCAAGGCCTAGAGAGAGCTTGTTCTTAGGCCTGCCCCCACACACAGAAATGAGACCGCCCCCTGCTTGACCTTGGGCAAACAGCCCTTGGCCTCCAACTCCAAGTCTTCTTTTCAGGAAAGTGGAGATGGGTCAAGATTTGGGCCAGATGGTATCCAAAAGACCCATTCTCGGGCCACCTTTTGTGACCCACGCGAGAGAGCCTTGTAATTGAAGAAATCTGTGGTCGTTGGTCCAAGCTGTGCACAAATAATAGGGGGGGGGGGATGTGCAAACGTTTTTTGGGTCAAGTTTAGTAAATACTAGTGTTCTCAGTGATTGAAGGTAACAGGATGGATGGGGCCAATCGAATTTCAACAAACTTATTTGCCTTTTGTAAGTCTAAAACCCAAAGCAATCTATACCAAAGTGGGACATGCTTACGTTAGAAATACACATGGAATTTAAAGCGAGAAAGAAAAAGTTGCTTTCTTTTCGATCCTCTTTCCAGTCTCTATTTGAAGGAACAAGTGTCACTTTGATGATGGCAGGTTTTCAACATCGTTCCACCATTCCTTAACCTAACTGCTGGACTCAGGCACAAAGCTTGCAGTAAGCAACCCTATCCAACTAAAATCCCATTATATACTTTTTTTGTTTTAATTATATTATACTAGAGGCCCTGTGCCCGAATTTGTGCACCAGTGGGGTCCCTTGGCCTGATCTTCAGGATTGGGCTGAAACCAGCTCTTCAACATCCCCCATGGGATCCAAGACTGTGAGAGGACGTAGGGACCCCACTGGAGCACGATCAGGGGTAGTTTTAGTAGTACAGATAGATTATATAGAATATGATTACTTAAATGGGGGCGGGGGGAGATGCTTTTTCAGAAGGAGGAGATGCTCTTGGCAGACAAAAATACAAAATCCTTATATCTGGACTGATAGCTAAACCAGTTATTAAAAAATCGAACCGCTTTCTTACATCTTACACTAGGGGTGTCGAACTCAATCAGAGAAGGGGCCAAAATCTAAAATCCAGCCTAAATCGCGGGCCGAATGGTTTACTGAACAGTCATAAACTGTCATTGTGATGGAAACACAGTGGAGTGCAGTGATGACAGCGCGGTGCGGGCCACATTGCAAGGCCTGGCGGGACGGATTTGGCCCGCGGGCCTTGTGTTTGACACATGTGCCTTACACCTTACACTAAACAGCTGTTGGCCTTAAAATCCATCTTCAGTCCCCACGTTAGGTTTTGCCTTTGAAGTTTACCCAGATTAGGTTCTGATTCCTTGGTTTCTATGCCAGTCAGTGTCTCTGGGCCTATCTCCGGGTCTGATCAACAGCCTCTGTGGCAGCTGTGGATCAGGCCCGACATCTCTCTCTCTGGGCCTCACTAGCAGCCATAGTGGCTGTAGATCAGGCCCTGCTTCTCTCTCTGGGCCTCTCTCCAGGCCTGATCCAGAGCCACCTCACCCACCCGCTGGCCACCAGCCTTGTTATAACAGTAGCCTGTGGATTGCGGGGGAGGGACTGAGAGATGCTCCATACACTTCCTGGTCCTCCATCTAGTTGTTTAGATTGTGACAGCCCCTGGCCTTTTATTATATAGATGGGAAATCTTTTTTTTTTTTTTTTTTAAACTTAAAGCACACATTTGCCTGGGGGCAGAGAGAGGGGGGAGGGAGGGGGAAAACGGGGGACATCTGAAATATTTTCAACAATAAAGATAAATTTAAAAAAAATAAAGATAAATTTAAAGCACACATTAATGGTCTTTAACAATTTAAGTGAAGAGTTAGATAATTTAAAGAAACAGTACAGGTGAAATTCGAACATGGTGGGAAAGACATCATGACAATGGTTCTCACATTACTGAGTTTTGCAAAACACTGTCTTCCAGGAGCCTAGAGGCAGATGGAGGAGGAGACAGAAGAGAGGACATTAAAGAAATAATGATAAGACTGTGAGAAGTTGGAAAAATGCACCTTGCACATCCACTGTTAGTTTACTGGATTCCCCAACCTCTCTAAGGTGATTTTCTGTGGAGACAGAGGGTCATCTATGGCTCCACAGGGCTTCCTGGAGGAGCCAGAGAAGTGGTGCGCAGCCGGCGTGCAGAAGCGTGCAGAGCCCGATTTGGAGGTGGCAGGAGTACTCGAGCTATTTTGGGAGCTGGAAATTTAATCCGTTGGACTTTTTACCTCCCCACCTTTAGCCAAGTTCTCTGGTAGCCTCCTTTTTCTGAAACAGGTGTCACGAGGCAGGTCAGACTTCACCGCCCGCGAGAAGATAGTGTAGCTCTTCTCTCTGGCGGTATGTCCATATCAGGACATTTCTAAATCAGTTTCAAGGCAAAAAAAAAAAAAAAGTTTTAGAAGACCTGAATTACTTTCTCTTTAAAATAATACGAAAATATTAAAATAGTTCTGGATTAAGGTCAAATAAAGCAACTAGTGAGAAAATTTCCCCTGTTGTTCCCATGGGGATTTTTCTTAGGCTCATGTGGTTAAACCGCGAAAGCTTTAGTGGCACATGCCAGTCCAGGAGTTAGTTACCTGGAGCTTCTAAAAGCATTTCTGGCCTGATGACAAATGCTTTAAACAACAGCAACAAAAAGTTAGTGGAGGAAATAGAGTTGAAGCAAAAGAGACCTCTGTCATTTCAGATCTGATGGGAAAGAAGTGGGAAATAAAAAAGGGGGTCAGTCGAGAGAGGGCAAGTAAGCAGGGAAGAATAGAAATGCAGAGCAAGACTAAAGGGGAGAGGATTCCGGACTTGTCTGTAAACAGAATGACAATAGCTAATATTTATTGAATGTGTGCCAGGCACTGTTGTAGGCCCTTCATGTGTAATTCATTGAATCCTCACAAGACATGTATGGAATAGAGATGGTTTTTACCCCCAGTTATAGATGATGCAACCACACATCTAACAGGCAAAGTAAATTGCCAAGGTTCACACAGATAGTGACTGAACTGGGCTGGGTGCCTGGAGTTCTCCCTAGTGTGGACTGTGCAGGGAATGGGGAGGATGGGCCACACTTACAGATTCAGTATGAAAGCAGGCAATCGGTTCCCAAAATCATGCTGACAGCCCTAACTGGTTTGGCTCAGTGGATAGAGCCTCAGCCTGCGGACTGAAGGATCCCAGGTTCGATTCCGGTCAAGGGCATGTGCCTTGGTTGTGGGCACATCCCCATAGGAAGTGTGCAGGAGGCAGCTGATTGATGTTTCTTTCTAATCGATGTTTCTAACTCTCTATCCCTCTCTCTTCCTTTCTCTGAAATCAATAAAATATACATATATTTAAAAATCATGATGACAAAACAAATAATGGAATCAAACTAAAAGTATGAAATTCAGTGAGAATATATTCAAATTAATTCAATTTTACAAATACTGAGTGCCTAACCTATTCAGGCACTGATCTAGTCACTGTGGCACTGGTGAACAAAACAAACAAAAATCCCTGTTTCTGTAGTTTATATTCTTGTGAGGGCAAAATGAAAATAAAGGACATAGCCGGGACCGGTTTGGCTCAGTGGATAGAGCATCGGCCTGCAGACTGGAGGGTCCCGGGTTCGATTCCGGTCAAGGGCATGTACCTTGGTTGCGGGCACATCCCCAGTGGGGGGTGTGCGGGAGGCAGCTGGTCGGTGTTTCTCTCTCATCGCCATTTCTAGCTCTCTGTCCCTCTCAATTCTTCTCTGTGAAAAATCAATAAAATATATTAAAAAAAGAAAAAAGAAAATAAAGGACACAGAAAGTAGTGAGTTAAAAGGAGAAAAATCTGAGCAGGGGAAGGGAGATGGAGGTGTGCGATCATAAGCAGGGAGTTTTGTGTAGGCCTCATTAAGAAGGTGAGTTTGAGCAAACTTCCTAGAAGGAAGTGGACATCTATCAGGAGAGCATTCCAGGCCATGCAAAAGCCCTGAGATGGCATGTAGTTGGCGTATTTAATGTGCAGTCTATTCATATGTTCTATAACTTACCTTCAGATAAATGAGATAAACCAAGTAAAGAGAAAATCACATATTAGGATGATAGCTCCTGCTTATACTTCCTTGTTCCAGGCATGCATTAAGTGCTCTACATATATTTTCTCACGAAATCCTTGCAACAACCTGTATATTATAAGATGTTTACTACAACATTACATGTGAAAAGACTGAGACCCAGAAAAATTTGGTGATTGCCCATTCAAATTCAATTGAACAGACTGTCAAACTACAGCAGGAAGGTAGAGGAGGGTTGGGGGGTTAAGAGATCAACCAAAGGACTTGTATGCACACATATAAGCACAACCAACAGATGCAAGACACTGGGGGCAAGGGGATGAGGGCAAGTGCCAGGGGGTATGGGAGGCTGGGGGGAGGTCGGGGGCGGGGGAGGGGGGAAGAGACATTTGTACTACTATTTGTAATACCTTAAACAATAAAAATGTAAAAAGTCAGTTCAAATCCAGATTAGTCCTATTCCAATATGTATATTCTTTCCACCATCCAACTTTGCCATTTTCCAAAAATTAACCACTTCCTGAGCACCCCTAGGCACTAGGTACTTTTAGATATATAATCTAACAGTGTTTCCCAAAGTGTGGTACACGTACCCCCAGGGGTATGGGAAGAGTTTGGTGGGGGTACGCGTTGCACCGGAGTTTGGTGGGGATATGCACTGCACCGTGCTTAGCTGCGCCTAATTCTACAGTCTCATGAGTACGAGGGGTACTCAGCGTTACGAAAATTATAGAATGGGGTACACATATGTCAAAAGTTTGGGAAACACTGATCTATTGTATAACTACACTAGTACTTATGATTTATTTGGAACAT